AGGTTAATGCTATTAGATCGAAGCAAATTGTTCTTTTTTTTTGAGCTTTGATTTGTAATGGAGTCTGGAATCCGGATCTACCCCCCACCCCAACAATGCCATCACCACCACCCACATTGTGTAACACTAATTCTAATTCAACAGTGAAATACCGAGTCAACATCCTTAAAAATCAAGGGATAGTGTCGGCAGGGCACAGCATGGCATGGTTGACCATTCTCCTCCGGTTTTTGCAGTCTAATTAATCAGCATTTGATGTTATGATTGTACCTAATCTTAATTGCCGCCGCTGCCAAGCCACCATGGTCAAATCCAATTAATGGTAAAAAACGTAAGTGAATCCCCCATTCTTCACAACCACGTGGTCCCGTCTGGTCCATTCCATTTTGCCATGACTTTACAGGATTTTCCCTCTAGCCATGGCACTTACGCTTTTTTTTTTTGAATATTTTATTATGAGACCGGCTTGAACCGTTGTCCTAGGAGATACATAAACCTTACAAGTGTGGGCCAAGTTCGGCACTTATGCTTTTTTAGTTTAATTATTATTCATGTTATGTATGGTCCATTACATATTAGACACATTATGTTAAAACTTTATTTTTGTCCTTCTACTTTAATAAAACATCTTTTTTTAGTTTCTTTATTTAAAAAATGTCCTTTTTTGTCTTTAAAATTTATTATTCAATTCCTTTTTAATGAATTTATTTTGAAATTTTTATTATCTATTGTAGCAGGTGTGTAAACAATTAATGAAGGAGCTAAAAAAGAACTAGGGTAATAAAATTTTAAAAAAAATTTCTTAAATGGAGGGACTAAAAATAGACTTTTTTAAAGTAGAAAAAACTAAAATAGGGTGTTAACCTATACATTATTATTGTTGTTATAAGTAGCCAATTTTTTGACCCTTTCAGATTCCAGAAGCCAACCTGGTGCATGTCTTTATGGACCATATAATAATATAAAGATTATTGAGACTCTCAAAATTACATGGTCTATAAAAAAAACTCAAACTCATTTTCATGTCAAACTCAACTAGACCCTCAAATGCCCATCTAACATGTTACATCACAAAAATAATAAAATTTTGGGAAATGAATGGGGTGCAAAGCAAGACTTTGAGCTGCAACCCACATGTGATCACATGAAAATTGAATCAGAACTTTTTCCATAACATGTGCAATTTTACCATTTCTAATCTCTTGTTATAATTTTCTTATTGCACAACCAACTCCTGTGAATCATTCTTCCGAATATGACATTGCCACAACACATTATGTTATCATTTAGCAACACCAAGAAAAACCAAACTTCCTTTCTCTTTCAAGCAAACACATCATTAAATAAAAAGCAGCCAAATTAAGTTATTAGCACAAATCAATTAATCTTTAATTATTTCTTTTCGTCTATTCTAAGTCAATAAAGGAAAATACCGACAAATCTAAGCCTGCTACACTGGTGCATTACAGAGGAATTAAGATAATGCATACTTTTTTTCAATATCTAATCTAGATGCATGAGCTGGATGGATCCAATTTTTTTAGTAGACTAGGGCTCTGATTCTCATTCTGCCTTAAATATGGATGGCAGGACAGGTCCCACGTCAAGACAAAAAGATGGGTTTTTTTTTTTTTAAATGGTCAGGGGTAGAAAGCCAAAAGATTGTATAATAGTTCCAGGAATTTTACAGGCTATAATATTTACACTGATGGTTTAAAAGAATTTGAGCATGGAAAGCAAGTTATTGTGAAGTGGATCTGAGATGTGTTCAAGTAGGTTTTGTACAGGGCCTTTACCTGTCAAAGCTGCTTGGACGTAGAAGCCTAGCCAAGCAACCATTGCTAATCGCCCATTTTTAATCTCCTTCACTTTCAGCTCCTCAAATGCTACTGGATCACTGGAGAGGTTCAAGGGGTCAAAGAGCACCCCTCCTGGATAGTTAATGTCACCAGGCAAGAAAATCCCCAGTGGCTCCAAAGCCTCAATCCCACAATATCTTGCATATTCTGGTCCAACCTAGTTATGAAATAATATTTTAGAAGCAACTAATAAATTAAGGTTATGTAGAACTTAAAAGGGAAGAAAAATATTGGAGGCTTCGAGTGAATGAGGTGAAGTTTTGTTCAACAATATTTAAATGAAGAGGTGCCATCATTAATGGTTGAATAAGGAACAGTGCAATTCAAGAAAACTCCCATCAAAGTTTCTCTGTGACCCCATCTACCAGGATCAGTGAACAAACAGAAGAAGGAAAAAATAAAAAAAAAAGGAGTTATAGAAAAAAAAAAATTGGAGTTCTAGAAAGTAATACCATCAGAAGGACTTGGCAAATAGCAATGATAACTACTCCTTGGCTTCCAGCTAAATGCAGCCCTGGGATGCCTAGGTAGTCCAATGTCTCTCCCTGGTGATGGAATTGAAGAAGTGAGAATTATGAGCTAGTCACTTGTAAAAATGGTATCAACAGTGATTTCCAATGCCTGATTTTGATATGGTATTTGCTATGAGTGCACAGATTAAATTGAAATGATCAAATACATAAATTTTGAAATGTTGGCCTTTAAGGTAAGACCGATTCCAAGTGATCATGCTTAATTAGTGAAGTATATTAGTAGCTTATGACCAGAGTAATAGTTGATGTACTGAAAGATAGAATACCTTTAGTTTTGAAAGGCCTACTCTCCACCAGACAGGTTCAACAAAGTGAAAGACTCCCAGCAGATCTAATACTTCTGGAACCAGAGCACCAAGGGCTGCAAGCATGGCCCAACGGGCATGCAGTATTTCAAAGCTGCATACGGTTTCATGACTTGGGCTTAAAATTGAAGAATAGGCATTTACTAGAATTATAATAGACATTCTCCACTCGGCTACATATCCCAACTCAAATAATTATCACACATTTTGAAATCAATGGATTTGGGTAAAATGAGCCAGAAAATGCAACATAAGCAAAAAGCCTCCTTATTAAAATAATTGTCTCATTATGGATCTGAACTCCTCAAGATTACACCTTTTCATTTTTGAGGTGTGTCGTACCTTAAAAAGGCTAGTTATTCATAATCTTAGCCCACTCTCATCCTAAAAGGTCATGACTTTGGGAAAAAGAAAAAAGGGAGATTATTCACCATAGTTTAAACTTCACATTCAACTAAGAAGATAGAATAAAATGTTATGACACAGGTAAAAACAAAAAGTGATGAAGGATGGCATACTTAAAATATTTTTGGAATGCTGCAGGATCCTTGCTTAGACCTGCAACATCAAAGCCATAATCCCCAGGCAGTTCTCCAGTAAGGTACTTGGGATAATTGTATGGGATGGGACCAAGCCAGCGAGGACGATCTTCTCCATACCAAAAGCTGCAGAATTGTAGATTCATCATAATAAACATATTTTTATAATGCGTTAAAAGAGCAGTACAAAGAATGACTATTGTGTGATTAGAAAGAAACCCTTCTGTTCCAAGATAAACTGGGATAAAAACAAATGCATTTTCCATCTCAATGTGTTGAGTAACAATATTTACGCAAGGTGATAACAAGCAAATGTAAAAATGACCGTTAAGTGATGCAGAAACGTACCATTCTTTTCCAAGATATTACAGGGAGAAAAAGCGAATGTACTTGCCATCCTAATAAGATAGATACATCATACATGTACTAATTAACGTGTAAGATGGAAAAGTTCTCTAAATGATTGCATCCAGACAAAAGATACTTAATACTTACTATTGGCATGATTACATCCAGACAAAAGACACTTAATGGTTAATATTGGCATGATCTTAGCAAAAAAAAAATCAAATTTTATTGAAAATTCTATAACAGCTATTTCCTACTTAGAGCACAAAATAGACTAACTCTAAAAGAATGGTTCAACTGGTCAAGAGCTTGAGATTCTAAGTTCGAGTTTTTAAGTATCAACCTTAAGTCGGGTGAAGAGAGATTTGAAAAAAGAGAAGAGCTATTTCCCCTTCTACATAACTCATCATCAAATGTACCCAAAAAAAAGTTACAAAATAGACACTTCCAGATCAACCATGAATCAAAATTTTCTCTCATACACTTAGAACTAGATATAGTAGTCATATTTTTACAAATTTAATCAATTAAAGCTTCAAGTTCCTATCTTTTGGTATATTGCAGTTTTTACTCTTTAAGCAAACAGTAAGGGGGTTAGCAAAGAGTAATAGAGAGTAGTACCTCTCATTTCTAGCCTTCTCAGATAAAGCCCGGAACTTTGAGGAATTCTGGAGTGCTACTTTCTTCTTCTCCTCCAATCGCCTCTGCAGGGACTCACCCAGAGGACTATTAGCGATGGCTTTAACCGCCGTGAAAGGAATCGCCGAGAATACCAACACTCCCACAACCTTTAACAATTTTGTATAAACGTTACATATCGAGACGAGTCACACAAAACCATGTCGTCAAAGTCAAAAAAATCAAGGTGGACAGGACAGACCTCCTGCCAGGAACATCGGCAAACAGAACGAGACTTGGCGTCGGCGAGCTTCCTCGAAGGTTTCACAGTCAGTACAGTTGGGAGATAACGTCCATCTCCGCCGGTAACGAAAGATGAAGAAATGGAAGAAAGAGGATGATGATGATGTGGCTTAACTTGAGCCATCGCTTCGTTTCTGGCTTTTCGCTTCTTCGCTGTAAACTCAATTTCTTTCTGTGACTGCGGACTCGGCTTCCACGACGACCTTCGGCTTCATTTTTTTGATTAAAATAATAATTTGGTCCTTCAATTTTTAGCTTTATGTTAAAATTATTCCTAAACTTTAATTTTTAGTGTCAAAATAGTTCTCAAACTTTAAAGACAATATTAATTTAGTCGAATATAAGTATCAGTTTAGTTATTGAATGTTGATTATAAATACTAATTTGATTTTTTAATTTTGATTATATATTAATTTGATATGTAAATAGAAATATATCATAATGATAAGATATAATTGTTTGATTTTACATGTTATTAGTATTTTTAAAAAATTGATTTTGTGGCAAATGAGTTGCGTGATAATTCTATTAATAAAAGGACTTTTTTTATTAAAAATTAAAATTTAGGGATAATTTTTGTATGTTTTGAAGTTAAAGGATAATTTTGATATAATTTTGATAATTTAGGGATTTTGATATAAACCCTAATTTAGTCCTTTATCTATTGTACAAACTCTTGAGTTAGTCCCTAAACTAAAAATCTCTAATTTAGTCCTTAAAATTTCTAAATTTCACCTAGAATTGATTCTCTTCATTAACAAACAACTAATGTATTTGTTATTTAAAGACAAAAAAAACCATTATTTAATGGCTATATGTCACGTTCGTAACAAAAAACATTAGCTATTTTCATACAAAAGGACTAAATTGAGGGCAAATTTAAAAACTTTAAGAATTAAGTTAAGAAATTTTTTAGTTTATAAACCAATTTAAGAATCCGTACAATAATTAAGGAAACAAATTAAGGGTTTAACCAAACAATAAAGTTAGTCCATTCAATTTAGACTTTTAGTATAAAATCTCTCTCTTCTCTCTCTCCTCTAGAACTCTTTAGCATCTGCCTCAAAAACTTCTCCAGTTTTCATCCCTTTTTTGGGTGCTTGGAAGCCTTTGGATTCGAACTTCTTGAGCTTTTGATGCTTGAGTAGTCGGAGGGCTTCTAAGCATGGTGGAGCTGGTCAACTATGCTCCTATGTCTGATGACCACCTTAGATGGTTTGTCAATTCTTTTGTGGCTTTATTGGTGGCCTTTGTTCTCTTTTCTTTTTGTTTCTTGTTTTGGTTTGCTCAGATCTTGCTGCCAACAAGCCATGCAGAATTTTGGGGATGGCCACCGCTTACTCTAATGTTCCAACCACGACATCTTGGAGAACAAACGTAATTTATGCAAGAGTAGATTGAAGGGTGTCTAGTTTTTCGAAATGGTCGACCAAAGGAATTTGTAAAAGTCTATTTCCTTTGTGATTGTTCGTGTGAAATGCTCACTGCCTTTTTTTTATTTATCTTATGTTGAAGTTGACCTATGTTTCATTTTCTCTTTAGTAGTGTTTTATTTGTTTGTAATTTCTTCTTATCAATGAGATCAGAATTTTTTATGTAGATGGCGTATGGTTTTGATAAAATGATATGCTTTTCACTTAGTTCAAAAAAAAAATTAAGACTTTTAGTTATTACAGTCCGGACTGTAATAAAAACTCACTGTAAAATATTTAGTCCGTGTTTTAATATATGCGCGGCCTCATGGGCCAGAAAAGTGAACATGTTTGTTCACGGATCCTTTTTCTATTGAGGCGGCCCACAACTTGAACAGTAATATGACCGTACAACTGACAAATCTCTCTCAACATTTAAATGGGCTTCTCAAGCCCAATATAGATCAACAAACCAAAGACCAGAATGGCCTAAAAAGGTCAAATGGGCCTGATAAGGTGGGAAGCTTTTATTTTAGGAACCCTAAACCGCTAACCGCCTTTGAAAGTAAATAAATAAATAAATAATAAAAGCTTTCTTCATATCTCCCCATAATTTTTATTTTTTTTTCTTGTTTTGTTCGTTCTTCTTCTTCTTCTTCTACCTGGTAACGCCACTGTATCTGTAAGTGCTTGTTTCTGTAAATTGTTTAAATTCATTAAGATAATAAGTCTCTAATTGCTGTTTTGTTTCTTCATTATTTTCGCAGAACCAACAAAACATAGTGTTTAGGGTGACTGCTTACTAATTCCTTCTCGCCATAAACCCTAGGTCTGTCTGTTTGTCTATCTTTCTGTATTTCAACTTCTTTAGAATTTTGATTTCGATTTCCCTCACTCCTTTATTTATTTGTGTGAGATTCACTGGTTTTGGGATTTAGGAATGGCGCATCTGGGTGGTGGTGCGGAGGCACACGCCAGGTTTAAGCAGTATGAGTATAGAGCCAACTCGAGTCTTGTTCTTACCACTGACTCTAGGCCTCGTGATACCCATGAGCCTACTGGTGAGCCTGAGACTCTATGGGGTAAGATTGATCCCAAAAGCTTTGGTGACCGTGCTTACAGGGGCAGGCCTGCTGAGCTAGATGACAAGCTTAAGAAATCTAAGAAGAAGAAGGAGCGTGACCCACTTGCTGAACCTCTTCCCCCTAGGCAGACTAAGAGACGCCGCCTTAGGGAGGAGAGTGTTCTTACTGCTACTGAGGAAGGGGTTTATCAGCCCAAAACAAAGGAGACTCGTGCGGCATATGAGGCTATGCTTAGTCTTATTCAGCAGCAGTTGGGTGGCCAACCACTCAATATTGTTAGTGGTGCTGCTGATGAGATTCTCGCCGTTCTCAAGAATGAGGCTGTTAAAAACCCTGACAAGAAGAAAGAGATTGAGAAGTTGTTGAATCCTATTCCAAATCAAGTCTTTGATCAGCTTGTTTCTATTGGGAGGCTTATTACTGATTATCAGGATGGTGGTGATGCGGACCGGGCTGCCACTGCCAATGGGGACGAAGCTCTTGATGATGATGTGGGTGTGGCTGTTGAGTTTGAAGAGAATGAAGATGAGGATGACGAGAGTGATCTTGATATGGTGCAGGAGGACGAAGAGGAGGAGGAGGATGATGTGGTGGAACCAAATGGTGCTGGGGCTATGCAGATGGGAGGTGGGATTGATGACGATGACATGCGTGAGGCTGATGAGGGTATGAGTCTCAATGTTCAGGACATTGATGCCTATTGGCTTCAGAGAAAGATTTCTCAGGCTTATGATCAGCAGATTGACCCACAACAGTGCCAGAGGCTTGCAGAAGAAGTGCTTAAGATACTTGCTGAGGGTGATGACAGGGAGGTTGAAACAAAGCTATTGGTGCATCTACAGTTTGATAAGTTCAGCCTCATTAAGTTTTTATTGCGGAACCGGCTGAAAATTGTTTGGTGCACCCGCCTGGCCAGGGCTGAAGACCAAGAAGACAGGAAGAAAATTGAGGAGGAGATGATGGGCTTGGGTCCAGATTTGGCTGCAATTCTTGAGCAGTTGCATGCCACCAGAGCAACTGCAAAAGAAAGGCAGAAGAACTTGGAGAAGAGTATTAGAGAAGAGGCTCGTAGGCTGAAGGATGAGAGTGTTGGAGATGGGGACAGGGATAGGAGGGGTCTTGTTGACAGAGATACAGAGGGTGGCTGGCTTCAGGGCCCCCGCCAGGAGCTTGATCTGGACAGTCTTGCTTTTGAACAGGGCGGTCTTTTGATGGCGAACAAAAAGTGTGATCTTCCCTTGGGGTCTTACAGACACACCAGCAAGGGTTATGAAGAAGTTCATGTGCCAGCACTGAAGCCAAAACCTTTGGAATCAGATGAAAGGTTTGTAAAGATATCAGACATGCCAGACTGGGCGCAACCAGCTTTCAAGGGAATGCAACAATTGAACAGGGTGCAGAGCAAAGTTTATGAAACTGCACTTTTTTCACCAGAGAATGTTCTCCTGTGTGCTCCCACTGGAGCAGGGAAAACCAATGTTGCAGTTCTCACCATACTTCAGCAGTTGGCGTTGAATAGGAGCGATGATGGTTCAATTAACCACAGCAAGTATAAGATTGTCTATGTGGCACCCATGAAGGCTCTTGTTGCTGAAGTTGTTGGGAATCTTTCTCACCGTTTGGAGGCATATGGTGTGACTGTGAGGGAGCTTAGTGGAGACCAGACACTGACTCGTCAACAAATTGAGGAGACTCAGATAATTGTGACAACTCCTGAGAAATGGGATATTATTACCAGGAAGTCAGGGGATCGTACATACACTCAGCTTGTGAAACTTCTTATTATTGACGAGATTCATCTGCTTCATGATAACAGAGGGCCTGTGCTTGAAAGCATTGTTGCCAGAACTGTTAGACAAATTGAAACCACTAGAGAGCATATCAGGTTGGTTGGGCTATCGGCAACACTTCCCAATTATGAAGATGTTGCGCTGTTTCTACGGGTTGATCTTGAAAAAGGATTGTTCCATTTTGACAATAGCTATAGACCTGTCCCCCTGTCTCAACAGTATGTTGGCATCACAGTGAAAAAGCCACTCCAGAGGTTCCAGTTGATGAATGATATTTGTTATGAAAAGGTGATGGCTGTGGCCGGAAAGCATCAGGTCCTTATTTTTGTGCACTCAAGGAAGGAAACAGCCAAAACAGCTCGAGCTATACGGGACACTGCACTTGCTAATGATACTCTTAGTAGATTTTTGAAAGAGGATGCTGCCAGCCGTGAGATTCTACAGAGTCACACAGATATTGTCAAAAGCAATGATCTGAAGGATCTCCTGCCATATGGTTTTGCAATCCATCATGCTGGTCTGGCTAGGGGTGACAGGCAAATTGTTGAAGAACTTTTTGGTGATGGACATGTGCAGGTGTTGGTTTCCACTGCAACACTAGCTTGGGGGGTGAACTTGCCTGCTCACACTGTCATTATTAAAGGGACTCAGATTTACAATCCAGAAAAGGGGGCATGGACAGAGCTAAGCCCTCTTGATGTTATGCAGATGTTGGGTCGTGCTGGGAGGCCTCAGTATGATTCATATGGGGAGGGAATAATCATCACTGGCCATAGTGAACTTCAGTACTACCTCTCTTTGATGAATCAGCAGCTTCCTATTGAGAGCCAGTTTGTGTCAAAGCTGGCTGATCAGTTGAATGCTGAGATTGTACTTGGAACTGTTCAAAATGCTAGAGAGG